CATTTTTAAGCATCATCACAGAAGCTTTATAATAATAATATCAGTTTTTATAATCCAACAGACTATCAGCTCATATTATGACCACCTGTGTGTCGAGATTAAAACATTAATTACTAATTTGTTAATATTTTTGTAATTTTCTCCTGTGATAAAAATATCAGCAAATATTTGTATATCTTTACTTCTGAACCTCTTTTAACATTTTTTCACATTATGAATATTTTCCAGCTGCTCTAAGATTTCTACAGGCTGCATGTAGAAATTTACCTTTAAAACTCCACAAGTTCACACAGACAGATGTTTACAATCAGTTTATTGATTTACAGACATTAAAGTTACAGAGAAACATGAAGGAAATATTTTCAACTTGGAAATGTTTCTTTGAATTTACGATGAAGGTCAGAAATCTAAACTGTGGTTTGTTTGTTTGGAAAAATATGAATATAATGAAGATTCTGGACACATTCAAAGCTTTTTCTTTTTTCACCCAAACAGTTTTTTGCTGATTTATATGAATTGTAACATGAGAGTAAATTACAGAAAGAGAAAATGTTTCACCCAACATGAGAGCAAAGTTCCTCAAACTGCAACTTGGTTACATACATTTTTAAAACATTTAAACATTTAGTAAATCCAGATCTACCAAGTATTTTGTCTCCTTCATTAAAGTTTTCCTTCTCAGTTTTTCTCCTCCCTCTCTGACTTTATCAGCCTGTAAAAGCAGAGCGATGTTTCTGTGTTTAGCTTTATCAGCTGGTTTCCATGCCGACCTCTGGGTCTGAAGGACTGTGAGGTTCAGCCTCTGCTGGTCTGAGAGCGTCTGCAGCATCAGGACCAGCAGAGAAACTCCTGATCTGAAGGCTTCAGGATGCTGAGCTGATCAGAGATCAGCAGCTGAGCTTCAGGATGTTTCAGGAGGCTGAGAGCAGCAGCTGCTGCTTCCTGACCACAGGATCCAGAAACCAATGAGGAGACGATGGAGTCATGATGAGACATTAAAGAGGAAACAA